TGGAATGTCTAGTTAATCAGGAGCTCTCCATCCCACCCTAACAGCACTACAGGTGCTCCAGGCCCAGCATTATATAGGAAAAGTGAACAATTTCATGTCTGCATCTGCACAAAATCTTTCTGAAACTAGAAAAATAAATGGCACTCTTCATCATGCTTTACTCTTCATTCATTTGGTGAATTCAGAGTTTCTCAAGTGTCCATCCATACAATGTATTTTTTCCATCTCTATAGTGTGAGTTAAATGGAACCCTAACATCTAAACAGTACATCAATGTTATGAATGCAGCAGAGAAGGAAAGAGAGTCAGCTTATTTTAAAATTAACTAAAAAAATAATAAAATATAGTTGAAGGTGGTAGGGTTCCTTCTGCTAACACTGAAATCACATTCAGCTTAATGAAAAATCACCTGCTCTGCCATGAAGTGGAAACAAACTTCAACTGGAAAACACCTTTCACCTTTTGACCTAGGCCCAATACCGCAAAAGCTCCGACCCCTAAACTGAAGCCACCTGATTTTGTCATACAGCAGTAACGTACAATACTTGAGCACCTTCTGCAGCACATAAAAGGCATTCTCAGTGATCTGTAATGAGTAGACTTGTGCAGAAAGCACATTTCCAGGTGTTTTACCACAGAATGATGCAGAAATCAGAGTGCATTCCATGTCAGGAAGAGTTCAGCATCTACCCTGTGCTCGCTACTCACACAAAACCACCAGTACACGGCCCAGACTTGGCAGGACTCTCAGAGACACATGCTTATGCTTTTGGCAGAAGGGAGCTGACCACTTGCAGCATCAGTGTCCTCTGCCAGCTGGCCGAAGAGCACACAGATGCAAGGGAAGCAAATTATCTGCCCACTGGCAAAGAGAAATGCTGAACAGCACCTTAGGAAAAAGCGTGTGTGTGCATGTGTTCCCGTGTGCGTGTGAGCGTGTACACACAGACACCTGTGCTTTGGGAAAGAGCAATACAGTCAAACTGGGAAAACTGGCTGCTACTAGTCCTGTGGCATCATTTTCTGCAACATTCTCACAGCAATGAACAGGCACTTTTCCCATTAAAATCTTCCAAGTTGAATTTTAAAGATTAAACACAAGGACAGCGAAGATGCCAAAGTATATTTTTCTAAGAAAGTCTGAAATCAGATCCCTTCAAGAATGGACCCACACAATCACTTAGAGGATTTTAGCAACTTAAGCTTAGCATGTCTTTGCATCTTCCCTCTTTATTTATCTCTTGAAGAATGAGAGCTTGTGAAAAAGCTCTCATTCCCATTACACACCAACATTCAATAAAATACAAAAAGCCTTCTGGGTTCAGAAGATATATTAAAAAAAAGTCAGAAAAACTAATGGGACAAGAATTTGTAGCTGATAGGTTAGGTTTAGCTGAGAGATGGAATCTGCCTGCAGATTAATTAGATTCTGCAATCACAGCCCCTTTTCATCCGCACGCATCCCACCACTATCATTACATGATCAACAGATTTTAATGAAAACTAATGCTTTCTTTTGAGAAATTCCATGGAGGCTATGTATAAGGTTGAGTTTACTTTTCTAAATATCTCTTGAAAACTGTACATAACGCGAGTGCACATTTGTCGGCTGTAAAGGTGTACAACAGCAATTTTTTGCAATGACAGTGCAGAGAGGGAATATGAGATCTGTGTGCTAATGAGCTGACACTGCAGAGGCTGGAGCAGTGTTAGTATAGTGCACTACAAGTGCAGAGCAGAACGACATACGCGGGTTATTTCCAGGGAATACGATCTACAGAACTACACACACAATTCAACATTAACACCAACATCCTTCAGCAGGGGTTATAAGAAAAGTGTGAAAGATGTTGCTCCAGTGACAAATTTATATATTTGAGTTGTTATATTCATATGATTTTAAAAAAGCCAGCTCACTCCCTGCATGAGCATTTTAAAAGAAAATATAACATGATTCTGATTTTATACATTCACAGACCAAGTTAACTTCCTTTCTGTTTCTTCTGATAGCAAAAAGCTGCATATTTTAAAAGATGTAATAATTTCCCTGGAGCCAACTGATAAACTTCAATTCACCTTTAAATACTCAGGAATTTTCATCTGTGTTTGCATTTGTTCTCTGTTAAGACATCATACAGCTAAATAAATAAATGGGCAGATAAATACAGTGGATTAATACTGTATGAATGTGTGTAAATTAAATATACAGAGAGGGGCTCGGTGCTAGCAGTGAAGCAGGGAATACATGTACATAAATCAGATTATGCATCATTTAACTGAAAAAGGAATGAGGGGGAGGGGCTTGGGGCAGGAATTTTCTTTTGCTTCTAAACAAGTTTCTTCCCATGTTGGGATATTGCCAAATCAGCCGTACCAGAGGTGGGCATTTTTTCTCTGGCTCATGAGAATACTTCAGAAGAGGTTTTTTTCTCTTGCCTCTGGAATGCACCAGATTGCATCAAGAGGGATGTGCAGCTGTACAGTAAGAACATAAGTCTTTCCTGAGCAGAGCCCCCCTCAATTCCTGCACACATGAACACGTACTACAGTCACTACCATATAAATCAAAGTAAAGGAGAAAGAAAAGTATTATTTTACAGATACTGACTAGTACAGGCACCAAGCTCAAGCTACACATGCTACTTTCTCCAGTTTCCCCTCAGTTCCTGTACCTATCCCACCACAAAGTCAGCCCCAGTTTCCCTCTCCAGTGAAGGCAGGCAGTCACTGCAGGTTCCTCTACCATGGATCCCTGCCAATTGCAAATATTGATCAAACGGCTGTGTGACACCACTGGAGACAATATATGCTTATCTCCAAGTGAAGTAAAAACGTTGTGGAAAGAATTCCTTCATGGATGTGGTCATACCCTGAAATTATCTGCCACTCCACTAGGAAGCTAGGATGTGATTAAAGGTACTTAAGCTGGAATGTTAACTAGGTAATGGGATAAGCTTTTAGTTCATCCTAATGCATTGATACACATGAGCATTCTGACTTTCAAAGACAATTGCTTCCAGATTCAAAAGACCAAATGTTCTGCTATTTTTTTTAATGTATTTTGAGCTACTGGAAACCTATGACTGTTGACTTGGACTCACCATATTTTTCCTAACAACAGTATCATGAGATGGTTGACATAGCTATGGACAAGGTCACCTTTTCATTTTTTTTCTTCTGTTTCTTTTTGCACATCTTCTACTTTTAAATAGGTTACTGTAGGTTCATGTTTTCTGGTCTACAGTTCCTCCAGAGATTTAAGTTTTCCCAATTTTACTACCCTGGTAATACGGATGTTGGACACGCAGCCCTATAGTACAGAAAACAATCTCACTTTACTAAAATAACCACGGCTTTAAATAAGCAATGACAAAAATCATTAGATGTCAGAAGATGAATAGCACACTGACTAAATATACTGACTGCCCCTAAACAAGCATATGGTTCATTTGTCTTGGTGGGATCTTTAAAGAAGTGCGGGTAGAACTTTTAAAAAACAATTAATAATTAATCACCTAAGCAGTTCAATGTATTTAGTTTAAATCCATATAATTGATATTTAGGAAAGTGTGTTTGAGATACAGCCTCTTGAAGGGATTACACTGATTAAGGATTAATAGTCTGATGTTTGTTGTAAGAGCTGTTGAGGCTGGATAGGATTAGTAAAATAAGATGCAAAGTAGAGACACGCTTTTATTTACCATTTTTTTCACTTTACCAAATATTTTTATTGAATACTACATAATTAACCCCCCTGCAAAACTTTTAAAGGTCCTAATTCAAAGCCCTTTGAAAAGCGTAATGCTGCACTAGCAAGAAGCAGTCACATGGGGGATATGTTAGAATATCAATCCAAAATTTGTCCAAATATTTCCTAATTGGATATTTTCTAACCATCAACTTTCTCAGAATACACAGTGGGACAGAGAAATACAAGAACTATTCTATCCCCAATAACAAAAAAAATAAAGAAATAAAAAAAATTTACTTGTTTTAAAGTAAAAGATATAAGTTTTCTGTACTCCAGTACTTCATTATATTAGTACAATGCTTCCTGTTTGAACATTTTATACTGTGAATATAAACCTGCATACTGTGAGAGGAAACCTGTTTCAACACAAAGTTACTACGTCGCATTCAAAGGTCCTTTAGATCATGTACAGACATAAACCTGCACATTGCAAAGTGCATCAACTAAGAGGACTCCTTTCATTTTCAAAGGTTCAAAATCAAAATTGTATAGAACTGAATTTGGAGACATCAGTAAAACAAATATCCAGGAACTACTATTGCTAAAGGAATGCTTTTTAAAATGCAGAACACGCACATCTCTTTCTGAAAGAGATTTCGCATTTTAACACCACATTAGCAATACTCAAAGTTCTGTTTTGCATCTTCTGTTAATAAAAGCTCAGATTATACGTATGCACTGCTTGTGCAGAGCTATTTCTCATAATGCCAAGTGTTCTGATCCCATTTTCTCTCCCCTCAGCTCTAACGGTATCTGTCAGTTTACAGTCAGTCTCCTCAGCTTTTCACAGGACTCACACTGTAAGAAAACAACTCAGTATTTCAGGGCAGAGGAGGCAAATAAGCCCCTCTAGCTTTGTCCCCTCAAGGTCATGTCTAAACAGTTGTTTCTGATCTTTTCCTACATGGCATTATATGCAAATTATGCCTTTTCACACACCCAGGTTCTAGCCTCAACAGAAAAGGGATCTTCAGCGGCAATTCACTGATCACAGCTACACAGCACTGATATACCAACAACATGGTTGTTTTCCTGGAAAACAAAACTAAAGGGATGAAAAGAAGTGGTGAGAGAACTTTTCCTAAGGTACTATTCAACCATATAATGCTGCAAATCTACTAAACCTCAAGTCACTGCACACATTTGTTGCACTGTATTGCATGACTGAGAACTCCAGGCTACCAGGGAGAAACTGAATGTAAAGATACATAACAAATAAATATTTTTTAAAAACCATGTATTTACTTACAAGCATTTGTCACTGAAAAACTGTTGGAAGAGTCCAGGTGATCTACATGATAGTTCAAATGGAAGGGCTTTTCTGTGGTATTTTGGTTTGTGTTGTATAACTGCACAGCAAATCGAAACGCACTGTGCTCCTGAACAGTGTTCCTCATGAAAAGTCCACCTAGGATGGAAAAAAAAAGGATAAAAAGGGAAAAGGTATTTCAGAATGGATTTTGAGGAGAAACAGAACCAATAAGTTACATTTGCATGCTGCACACTGCAGGAAAGAATGAACAGGAGCAGGCTGAACCTGAGCACATAACTCTGACAGATCACCTACATGAAATACATATTCCAAGCCCAAAGTTAGGCTTTTAAAGCTACACATCACATCCAGGTGCCCCCGAGCGATGGGAGTCGCTGGGAGCTGCAGGTGCACCTTGAAAACCAGGCCACTTCCACACGGATGCCCACACAAAGCTTTAAAAGTCTAACTTGGGGGACCGTGGCTCCTAAATCATCTCCAGACTACCGAAATATCGCCACTGTAGAGTTATGTGCGAGGACACGGCGCCGTGGCAAACGTGCGGTTTCACGGTCTGGTGGAGCGATAGCACGGCCGAGCCAAAGGATGCTCCGAGGGACGGGAGGGAACAGCCCCCGCTTCACTCGCTGCCCTCAGCCTCACGGCTCGCTCGGCCCCGGGTTTAGGGCACGTCGCTACAGATTCACGCCGTGACTCTCTCACATTATGTGCTCCACGGGATGCGCCGCTCCAGGGCACGGTTCCGCAGAGCGCGGACCCGATCCCCGCCGCTCGCAGGGGAGCGGGAGCCCGGCGCCGCTCGCAGCCGCCCGCCAGCGCAGCCCCCGGGCACCGCCGCTGCCTCTCGCCCTCAGCGAGGGGAAGGAACCGGAGCGGGGTTGGCTCCTTCCCGGCGGCGCCCGGGCTCGCCCCCCGCTCCCCTCCGCACAACTTCCCCTCGGCTGGCGGGGAAGGCGCGGGTCGCGGTGCCGCGGCGGGCGCTTACCTATACTGATGGTGTTGGGGAACCCCGCCAGAGCCTCCCCCAGCAGCCCCGCCAGCAGCAGCAGGAGGGTCCGGGGCGCGCTCTGCCCCATTTTCTTCAGCCCCTGCGGTTCAGCCCCTAAACCGAAACTGGCGGTACAGGCATGGGCGCAACTGGAGACTCGGAGCGGTGTCAATGGTGGTGGCGATGCTTGGCGGAGGTGGTGGGGAGGATGGTCCCCCTCCTTTCTTCCCTTCTTCTTTTTTTTTTTTTTTTCCTCTTTCCTTCCCCAAATCCCTCTGCTCTCGTCTTCACCCCAGCCTGGCAGGGCTCATTGGCTGCGAGATTGCCTTTCTCCCCCCCGTCTCCAGCAGCCCCCCCCAGCGCAGGGACTTCCCCCAAAGATGGTGGGTAGCGGAGCCGGCGAGGCTGCTCCGCCCGGGCCGGGAGGGGGTTATCGATCAAACTTGGCGTGAGGCGGGCTGGCAGCCGCTCCGCTCCGCTCGGCCCGCCCGCCCAGCCCCGGCGCCGCCGTCTCCCGGCCGCGGCTCCGCGCTCGGGGCTGCGGTCGGCGGGAGCGCACCGGCCTCACGTGGGGCGGCCCCCGGGCTGCAGCTGCCCCTTTAAAGCTGCATCGCCTCGGTGTGTGTGTGAGTGTGTGTGTGTGAGAGTGCGGTGCGTGAGCCTGTGGGCGGGCGGGGGAGGGAGCGAGCAAGGGAAGGAGGGGCTGGAGCCGAGCGGGGCTGAGCCGGGGCCGGCAAGGGAGGCCGGGCGGGTGAGGAGGAGAAGGCGGTCGGGTCCTGGTCGTGCCCGGCGGGCGGTGCGGGCGCCCCAGGACCGCGAGCCGAGAGGCGGCAGAGGCTCCTCGGGGCCGGGGGCGAGAGGCCCGGTGAGGGCCGGGGCAGGCGGGCGGCGCTGGGCCCCGCCTGAGGGGAGAGCCGGGAGCGCACGGGCTGCCGAGGGAGGGCTGGGAAGGGCCACAGCAAGGGATGCCCAGGCGCTTTCCCGGAGGGGCTGCCTGCCTTGCGCCCTAGTGCTCCCCATCCCTCCTCCAGTGCCAGCGCCTCGGCATCATCCGCCCACTGTGCCATGAAGTGAAGAAAGGCAAGGAAGAGTTTAATCCCACACTAGGGAATATTAGGTCCTTCCCAGCCAACTCTAAAGGAAAGAACTCCAACGGAGTCTCCCGGTTTCATCCCTGGTGCTGTAGAAAGGCAGGACATGTCTGAGCTACCCCAGCACAGAGCACAGCACGGGCAACCTGATGGGGAGCAGCCAGGTGTGTGCCGGACATCCCGCGTACCTGGAGCACCAGTCCTGAGCCACTTGCTCTGCACATCCACAGGGAGCTGTTGTGCTGGGTTGAAGCTGGGTTCTCTGAGGGGTTAGTCTTGTACCCATCTCCTTGAAACCTCCCTGTATGGATCCTGCAGCTCTTTTCTTTCTGCTGCTTTGGGTCTCACAGAACTATACAAAATGTAGAGAGAAGAGAGATATTAGGTCAAGTAGTCCATCTCATAGGCCCAGCAAAGACTGTTCTTCCCTTAATGTTTTTCCTCTGATTTCAGCAGGTTGCTTTACCTTAGTGTTCCTCTGCTTTCTTTTTTTTATCTTAATCTTAGACTCTGGCACTGTTTGGGTCTATGTTCAGTTCTTTTAGGGATAATATTAAATGTGGTTGGCTTTGCATTTGCAAAATAATCAACCAGTGCCACTGGCTATAGTGTCACTTAAGTGGTCAAGACATAAGATTGTGGCAGGTTACTGCACATATGCTAATGAACAACATCAGAGATTCAAACCACCACCCTTGAGGGAAGCCAAAAGCACAGGTGAAGAGCAGGGCATCACAGTCATCATGCAGGAGCATAACATATGGTTTTAGTGACATATGTGTGACACCTACTTACCCCGAGGTGCCTAAATTGGTCACTACCTGTTGTGTTCTTTTATGAGAATCATGCCCAGAAGATGAAGTCTGTTCCAGTTCAGGCAGGGGTAAGGATAAGGCTGTGAGGTGGATGGTAATGTTCCCTGTTTAGATTGTGATGGCAGGTGTCACTTTATCTCTTTTTAAGAAATGGTCATCTGTATGGACAGGTGGGTTAAGGTTCATCATTACATCCACAGTACTCCTGAAGTTCAAAGCACTCTATGCATATTATCTATGAATTCCTGTAAACATCTCCATGAAGCGTGATTGTGTTCTTCCCTAACAGATGTAAAAACTTAAAAATCAGGGAAAGCAACCGGCCCAGCTCACCTAACCAGGAAGTTTCAGACCCAGGATTAAGATCATGAGCAGCAGCCCAGTTTCACTGTAGAGCACTCTGCTCCCAAATGTCCTTTGGTAAGGATAGCGGATCTGAAAACTACAGACAGGCACAGAAGGTTTAGACATTCAAGATAGTTGTCAAAATCACATTTTTATAACCAAATAATTTATCTTTCCAGTTCCAAACTACTTATCTTTTCCTATTTTGTACACTGCCAGCCTATTTCTAATGCATTCTCCACAAAGTCCTGCTGTCCTCTTTTTTTTTGGTGTCCTTTGCTAGCGGCCCTACTTTCTTCCTGTTCACTTGCTCTCACAAAGTTCTTCTCTCCATCCCTGGAGCTGAGTATTCCAGGCTGACTGCCACCTGCCACACTGACAGCTGATGGTGCACTGAAAAAAATATGAAAGAAATTATGTTTAACATTATAGGTGTTAGAACAAGAGAAGAGATAAAATAGGCCTAAATGAATGTGGCATGTGTCAGTCTCGGTTTCAAACACTGCCAGTAGGGTGGGTACCTTGTCTCCAATGAAATGGTGCTTCACAGCCTAATCTCCAAATGGACAATCTTGTGATAATCCAAAATACATCTGTGCTAAGAGACAAATGAATTTTCATTATCATACACATTTTTCATCCTGAAGCCCCTTGTGTGTTGTTATTATTGTTGTTATTATTAGCATTTTCAATACACACTTTGCTTGTTTGCTTATGCAGTCTGTTTCATGGCAGTCTTTGCAGATACAAATGGTACAGCAGCCATTCCATATGGATTTTGGAGAAATCCAAAGAGACCCCATCCCAGTTCATCTTTCTTACAATGAATCCAGTGTGTTCTAGAAAAAAATGGTAGGAGATTACTTGGCTTAATGTGGATATTAATGCCATGTAAATAGTTTATATACTTTGCTAGGGATGCTCAGAGACTCAAATTAATGAGTTCCATGGTAACTGAGGTCATACCAGATGCTTTCCCAAATCTTCCCTTACTAAACACAACCAAGATTTTGCAGGATAATCAAGCTTCATGTTTAGATGATCTGTAGTGTTCTGAGACACTGGGGATTCTGTGTACTATCTACCCATCAGGAGAAGGTAATGATTTATAATTAGCTAATGTGTTCTCCTTGTAATGTCTAATAGTAGATTAGAAAAATGCAATGGAATTTGGGACACAGCGTTCTCATTGTGCTTTCTGATGTTACTAGGCTAAACCCATACTGTTAGCATAAAGTCATAGCAGAATCTACAGCAGGATTCTGTGGCTGAAGCTTCATCTTAACTGCACTAAGCTGACTTTATCACTTTTGTCATTCTTTTCTCTAACTGTAAGAAAGATGCTCAGGGAGCAAGTTTTTAGAAAGCATGGTACTTCTTCCAATATGAACCAAATCAGGCCATAATTGCCAACAAATGTTTTATGTGTCTTACAGCCTTTTTTGTTTGCTGGTTTTAAACTGGGTATTTCTTTATAAAAACAAGGGATACACAAGTAACTGAACTTTATGTTAATGTCAGCATTTTGATTAGCTAAACTGATTATTCTACAACAGAAAGTTAACAGATAGAGTGATAGTGGAGAGAGACAGAAGCAAAGATGAAGAGGGATTCAGGGACAAGATGAAACTACAGATAGAAGGAGTCAAGGGGAAAGTACAGTGTCAAAAGAGGGAAAATGAATACAGACATTACAGCTTCATACATTTTGGAAACCATGTCAAAAGGACATGTAGTTAAGATTTGATTATATTATATTATGAGTGGCCGTAGAACAAACTGTCGAAGCTCTCCTGTTTACCTTTCATTACCATGCAATAACAGAGACATAAAGTGAAATTAAAAAGCTGCAGACGAGAGACAGTTTAACAAATATTCTGCTGTGCAGTTTATAGCTAATCTATAAAGCTGTCTTCTACACAGTATTCTCAGCAAAAATAATTGTTTTTAAAAGTGTCAAATTTTATGTGAATTAGCAGAGTAAATGCATTAGACTAACTAGTAAAAAGCTGTAGGGATTAATATTCAGAATTCATGGCAAAAAGTTGTTCCTGGTTGCCTGAAGAAAGACCTATTCCCTTATGCATGATGGGAGTTTACAGTGTGTCTAAAGCTCTGTAAAAGTTTTTTTTTTTTCTGGTCAGTTCTAGAGACAGGTTAGGAGACTGCTTGAATCAATGATTTGTTTTTATTAATTTTTTTTCTAAGAATGGTTAACAGGCAAAATCCTGGAACTATGGAAATGTACAGTAGGTTTATTAGCCATACCATCAGAGCTAGGATTGTACCCTATACATCCTGACAGAATAATAGGGTCTGGCACATAAGAATATGTTCTAGTACATGGAGTGATGATCAAGATTTGTATAGGAACAGGGACAAAGAGGGAACTTGTTCATAAATAATAGTCATTACTCCATTGCTGGAGTCTAATTCAACTTTAGGTAGCAGAAGCAAATTCATCCAGCAACTTTTATCAGAGCTGAGCACGGACTGTTATGGTAATAACCTGTATCTATTACAATTGCACAACTAAGACACAAACGTGGAAACAGTCAGTATGTACAAATGTCTTCATATTTCTTGGGCTTGTGGTATCTTCAGGATACATAGTTCTAATTCTAAGAGCTATGGAGCTGCTGGAAATGTAGTGTTATTATAGTCCCATAATGTCAGAAACAATTTATATTACCTTCTGCTTTCCGATTAACTGTACACTAGGCACTGCTGGCATAACACAACCCTGCAATTCTTACTTAAACCTGTACTTTTGCTGTGCTCATCTGTATTTATTACATCAGGAAGCAGTAAATCAAATAAAAGGGTAATGGTAGCCCCTTTATACTGTTAATAAAGTGAATCCTCTCTCTCTTTTTATTATATACCTATGAATACAGTTTTCAAGCAATTGTGGGAGTTATATCCAGTTCATACCCATTTCAGTTGTGAAAGATATGACCACTGATTATTTAATTTTTGTATATAATTACTGAAATATACTGTTCTTAAAGACAATCTAGTTTAGCTCTAAGTAGTGAATAATTGCTTCAGATAATTGTTTGCCAATCAGAAGTCTATTTTCCTTCCAATGTGAATTTGTATGTTGCCATAGCTCACCTCATCTCAGTTCAAATCTGCATTAGTGTCTTCTAATGAGAACATCTTTGGAAAACAACACACAGATTCTTAGAAATGAATGTTTAGACAAAAAGAATTTACGTTTTTCACTCAAGCTTTATGGATTTCAGATTTGTTCTTTTCCACTTGATCAGACAGAGACTCCTACCCTCCCTTAAGTCAGCAGTCTGGTAAAGTTTCAGAGTTGACATTCAATTCTCTTCTAATTTCAAAGAATCTGTTTTACTTCTGGAGTGAGCCTTTGCAGCACTAGGGTATGGAATCAACTTTCTTTTTTTAGAATTCATTCAATTCATATAAATAAGGTATTAGTTAATATGGGAAGGATATTAGACAGAAAATGAACTTTAATCTGTCTCCTTTAGTCCTGGGGAATATAGTGTTTGTGGAGTATTGGTCTCTCCCTTGCTCTGTCATTGCCCAAGAAATATCACTTTGAATGTGAAAAGATCCTCCTATGCAACTTGTATGGAAAAAAAGCATTTCCTTAGAAAACAGCCCAGAATCTGAGAAGACAATAGAGAAAAATCATAGGAGGAGAGAGATATCCTGTTGCAACACTGTAGTGTAGCCCACAGGCTGGAGGTTTTGATCCTTGTGCACTCACTAAAAGATCTAATACTTTAGAGTCTTTAAATCATACTTTGTCATATTGTGAAGGACTTGCAGTGTCCATCTGCACAGATGAATTTCACCCAACGTGGTTTGTTTCATTGATTTCAGTGAGATAACTGAGTGTACAAAGATGGCTACAGTTGTACCCTTAGATTGATGTGAATAACACAACATGGTTCTGATAATCTCCAGTGTTCAGGAGACGAGCAAATCCTTCAGAAAGCCAGTGGCTTGTTTGAAAAGATGTGATATTAACAATATAGCCAATGTTAACAGAAGTGTTCTTATGCTTTATGAAACTTCCATTCCTGATTAAAAGTTGCTTGGTTTTGTAAGTCACACCTTGTAGCAATTGTGCTGGATCCTGGTAATTACAGTATAAAACTGATTGACTGATTGCTCTTTCAGCACAACAGAAGGCATAAGAAGTGAAAAAAAAAAATAAACACAATTGCAGAAAGGTTTTGTAATAGAAATTCTCACCTTACATCAGTTTGAAGAGTCTTAAGCATTTTCCAATAGATCTGCAGTGGTCCTTATACAGCAAACTGAAGTTGACTGACAATAGCTTACTCTTCTTAATTACCTTTTGCAGACTCTTCAAAAGCATCCCATGTGTCCCAGGAGTCCACAGACCTGATTTACAGGAAAAGAGATATTTATTTATTATCATCTGTTAAATATTGTTTTAGTATCAGCTTATCCTGAAACTGCTCTTGAACATGTGAACTGCTAGAATGCTCTTTTGAGTTCTCCTGGGTCCTCATAAACACTCAATAATAGCTAAGCACTCAGGCACTAACATGAAGGTAAGATCACTATCACTGAACATCTGTTTCTAGAAACTTTGTCTAAGCCATGATGTTGCTAAAGCATCCTGCTTTTGATGATGAAGCTCTGTGTTGTTTATACAGCCATTTATTTCAGAAAGTTTGAAAGCAGATTTCACAGTGTAACTACTCAGACAAAGTCCAGGAAGAGGCACCCATCTACTTGGTGTTCATAGTCCCACAGTTCTTAGTGTTGCTTTTCAAAAACTGCATCAAATCCTCATCCAAGGTAGAGCACCTTAGATGAATGAAATAAGTTCTACTGTGGAGTGGTATAAATGGACTCTGTTTGACTTTTCTGCAATATAAATGCAGGGATTATATTTTGCATGGCACAAAGATTCTGATCAAGGCCTGCACACCAGCGAGTGGTCTGAGTAGTGGCTTTAACTCCCTTGAGACTACAGTTTAGGCAGAAAATTCCTTTCATTTAAAAATGATTCTATAATCTTGAGTTTACCATTTGTTTTTACTGCTTAGCTTACTTGCATATGTACCCCATGAAGAATCAGGTTTCAAGAGCACAAAATTAAATGAAAAAAAGAAGCACTGTGATTTTTCTCGGTTCAAATTATTACTTTATCTGTTATATTGCATTCTATATATTACAGATATCAAATGTGATTGTTCCCCTTGCTACCACAGGCCCCTCTGGTGCTACAGAGAACTGTTTAGAACATGAGCACCGTAACGGATGCTCAGTCCCAGATAATAATTTATGTCTCTTGGCAAATAGAAAACAGTGAATGCAAATCAAGCCAAATCCTTCCTTTCCATGAGTCAGATGCTATTTTCTTGGTACTTGGGATGCAGTAACCAAGAGTTTAATCTAAAAACCATTACATTCATTAAGCACCATTCTGTTGACTTGAATGGTCTTTGAATAAAGCTAATGGCCTATTTTGTTCCTACATATCCATAGTGTTGAGGTACAAGGGAGACTAGGGAACAACAGGAAAGGCAGGACTAGAATTTTTGTATTTGAAACATTTCATAAAATATTTGTTCATTATACATTGGAAAGTATAAAATAAAAAACCATGGAGTTTTTTTCCTTTTTTTTTTTTTTTGAAGAAAAAGGTGGCAGAGAGGTCACTTTACAGCTCTACCTTGAGACCTGTCTATATAAAAATCTCTCCTTTTCAGAAACAGTAGGTCTGCCCCTTTACCTAGGTTATGACACTGACTGACTGAGCAGCAGCCAACTCCACAATTACTTTCACAGTGATTAACCAGGTAATTAAATCCAAAAAAACAAGACAATTCAGGATTGTCCGTAAGACCTTCTTGTTAGTCAGCTGTAGGTAGTTATGAGAAGGCTTAACTAAGAAGTAGCCAGTCTTACACAAGGTTTCTTTGGGGCTGTAACACATTAAGTGTGATGTAGCAAGTTAAGGAAGAAATGCAAACACATAATTTTAGACTTAACTTCGAAATTTCTCACTTTTGTGCTGCAAGGCAGACCTTACACATTAGTTTGACATATTGTTGTTATTTACAATGTAATCTTATATAATAATTAACTCCAACTGATCCACTGCAGTGCTTTAGCAAAGTATTGAGGCCTATTAAAATGGACTGTGAACACACAGTTGTTTTCCTTATTTCTAATATAATTATGCAGTTGAAGGACAAAAAAACCAGATTAATGGAACGGCGTTGCTAAATAGGGCCCCTTGGTGCTGTAAATTGCTGGAGTGCTGTTATAAGGTTTTGAAGTATTAAGTATATATGAAAAGTGACATGCTGGAAATCTTTTGGAAAGCATTTGTTTCTGTTATTCTTTAGGGAAACATTCTGCTGTCAAAGGTGAAATCCAATGACAGCAGCACCAAAGGGTATGTTTTCACTGCAAGCTTATTCATAGCTTTAGGGCCACCCCATTGCACCAGCATCACACAATCCCTTATGCCTAAATATACATGAACTTTGAACCTCGCTTTGCCGCTGGAGCCGAATTCAGCTTCTAAGTAGATCAGCACTCCTAAAGTTTTCAGTGAGGAGTTTGGCTTTAAGGCACATGTGAAGTCATGTGTTTGCTGCATACATGTGATTGGATTATGGGTTCAGTTTGGAGGATAAATATTCTCTTTTATGGACTTACTAATGTATTGAGAGCATGAAAAGCAAGTATCTGCAGTAAGCAAGGAGGAGACAGGGCATTATTCTAATTGTGTATGAATTGGACCATAGTGAGTACAGTTTTTCAAGCTTTGCATCTTCTGGGCCCTGTAGTTTCTGAATCATTTATCTCCCACTTGGCTCTTGCTAGAAGCTACCTGCCAGTTTCTATACCTCTACTCAGCATTTGACCCTTCGTTCCACATGCTCTGTCTCTTTTTGCAGAAGAATGCTGAAAGATGTCACCTCAGCAGGCTGCATTGTTGTAGATACAATGTCTAGCTGTAAAATATGGCTCAGAGTGCCAGGAGTTGTCTCAGCTCCTGTTCAGTCAGCAGTCAATGGCACATCTGTGTACAAATAATTACCAGCCCAGTGATGTTTCTCTAAAAGGGCAGTTCACTTACAATTTCTGGGGAGAGGACACTGCCTGACTAGGAAAAAGAGGCTTGGGGATGACACTGTAATTCAGAGAATAAAACTAATTCAGAAAAGGCAGAAATTGTTCTAGAACAGTCCATGGGTCAATATCTAAAGAAACTCCAGTCAGTGACAATTAGCAGCCTGAGAAATACCCATGCAGACCTACTTGTCAAACCCAAATAAACATCAGGCCATGATGGATGTCTCCACATAAGCACAGAACCATGTGAGGGTGATCATGCACTCCAGATATGTTCTGCTGTTTTAGTTCAGGCCACAGCCCCCTCAACTGCAGCATGAGCTTTACTCAAGCTAAAAGAGCTATTTCACATTGGAGATGACATTGGGAACTTAGTAACTGCTGAGATTTGTATTTAAAACAAGACCAGAATCCAGCTGTTTCACTTGTTCCCAGGGAATGCATTTTCTGTGCTTTGCACAATAATGAACCAAAAGTCAACTAATTTCTGCATATGTTCAGTATGCAGTATATATACTAGTTTTTTCACAAGAGATTATTCCTGTAGTTTTTGTATTTACAAATAGTCATTTGGCCATCCCCATAACTTTACATTCACATATGCCTCCTTGATTATGATACATTTCAAATGAGCTAATAGTGATCTTCTAAAATAGATACATGAAAATAATTTTCTCAGAACTGTAGCTGTAAGCTAAAACCGCAAAGATCAGCTGACAGCACTTCTCACATCCGTCAGCAACACTCATTTTTGATGACAAAACATAACTAACATTTCCAAAATTGGTTCATTGGGGAAGATCTACTCTCTGAATTTAGTTGGTGATCATCAAAAAGCTTTTGCTGAATTAGTGAGGTTTTGGAACATACAAGACCACTTAGACTACTCAAGCCAATGGGAAGCTGAATGGCAGCTCTTGGTAGCAACAGCATTTTTCAAAGTTCACAGAGTGCCTCAAGGTCATCAGGCTAGATCTGATTGATTAAATCTAGAAATATAAAAATGTAAGCTTGAGATAAAGTTCTGGTCCCATGTACAGTGAATAGGATACCATCTTTGACATCAGTGAACATCAGACTGGATTCCAAGTCATTAGATGACATGTAAAAAGAAGGAGGAAATACTATCCTAATTTTATTTTGATTAGGCCATGATCATCACATCTAAAAAGCCCATGCAGTACATATGCATGTACATTGCCCACAATAGGAAATTTATTTCTGATTCAAAAGGTTGAATGCTTCCAACTGACCCAGAAATAAATACTTCACAGCAGCTTTGTGAAAACAGCATTGTGGAATCCTATGTATCTCTTGATTACTTGTACCAAATATATGCCTTTTAAGATTAAAAATTCACTTAAGCATTAAAATGTTTCCTACCTCTGGATTCAGATTATTAGAAAACTGTCTATATTCTCTCCAACCCTTACCCCCTTTGCCTACTGCTTTTCAGTGCTTCAAAGACATTGATAAGTATTCTCTAAATAGTCTAATTTTCAAAAAAAAAAGGAGATTAGGCCAAAAAACCTTGCAAATTTTGGGAATGTACTTCCATCTTCAGTAGATCTTTTTGCTGAAGAAAGCATTACAGACCTCGGGATCTGTCCTTACAGTTTGTATGCTAAGTACTGAAATCATACAACAACAGTGTAGGAAGCCAGAAAGAATATAGATAGAAGCAAAGGGTAGGTAATATTTAAATATTTTGGTTGTTCAGCTATAGATTCAGACACTGAGCACAGATTAACTGGATTTGGAGCTATAGAAACAACTGTAACACAGCAAGGTCAGGGCTGAGTGAAGTGACTAGAAATCGATGAAATGTGTGAAGGACTGTGGGGGAACAGGGCAGTTAATCGTTTCAAAACTTTACCCTGTAAAATGGACTGTACAGGATCAATGACAGAGGAGATAATAAAACAAGCAGACTATACCTCTCTTCCATACAAAAATATGCTAGATTTGTGTTTGGTTTGATTAATACAGCAAAATTTGGGTTGCTAATTAATGGTGCTTTAATCCAAAGGTAGAAAAGTTATCTCTGGGAGCCTAGAGAAGGACTGTACTTCATTTAGACTTCTGAAAACCTGTACAGATATTAAGTGCATATGCTTTGGGTGCAAGAAATGCTGACTGCTTGGCATCCATTTATTGGCAGTGGGTTATGCATTTACAAGCCCTTTTGCCTGCAAGCACCAAGGGATTAACAATGCACCAATTCTTTGAGCCTCAGGGCCTGATTCTGTATCACAGAAGTCAATAGAAGCTTTGTCATTGAC